CCTGGCCTGTTGGCACAACTGCATTTCTCTGAAGTGTGTGAGTCAGTAGTGGATTCTGCTCTAGGGGGCTGTGAATTGCGGGAGGGAAGGGGAGAAGAGCAGTGGGTGAGGAGGGTGCTGCTGGGTGATAGCACCTCTCCTCTGATGTCCTGTGGGCTGAGGGGGTGGGCCTGCTGTGGAGGTTTGGGAAAGCTACAAGAAGGCTTGCTTTCGGCAGGCTTTCTTTAACTACCAAGAATGCTCCTGCCTCAGGGCCTTTGTACTCACTCTGACTGAGCTACAATTTCCCCAGATAGTCATGTGACTCTACATTATTTCAAGATTCTGTGTAAAGCATCCCTCCTCAAGAGGGACAAGTCACTTCCCTAGTCCTTTGCTCTACTTTTCTTCATAATGTTTACCGTTCCCAGACAAGGCAGTCTATATTTCTTTCCAACATGTCTTTGTTGTTGTTCTGGAATCTCCATACAAGTAGGGAGATGCTGTGCTTACTACTGTATTTGTATGTCTGGCCATGTAGAGGTGTTTGATAAGTAGAGTGGATTTGAACTCAGACTCAACAGGGAACTCATTAGTCTGTTTCTATACTCAACACATTCTTTCCCAAACCTGCTGTGTATCTCAGTGCAGAGTTAGGGAGGAACTCAGGGTGATTCCTGCCCTGTAGTGTTTATCATATAGGGAGAAAGATCAAGGGTGTAGAAAGAGAGTGTGTAGGCTTTACAAAAAGTACAGGGGCTAGGAGAGAGCCTAGTCAAATCGGTTCAACAATAACAACAACCTAGGCCACTTCCTGTGCGCCATGCACCTGCCCAGTTTGTGATTGTGTTAACTTATTTAATAACTTTTACAGTCTACGAGGGGCTGGAGAGATGGTTAAGAGCACTGGCTGCTCTTGCAGAGAGGACTTGGGTTTAGTTACCAGCATCCACATGGAGGCTTACAATGGTCCTTAACTCCAGTTCCAAGAATTCCAACGCCCTCTTCTGGCCATGCCAGCATGCAGTGCATATACATATATGTAGGCAAAACACTCATACACCTAAAATAAAAATAAATTATTTTTTTAAAAAAATTCTCATGGATGAGAAAACTGAGGCTCAGAGAGTTAATACCTGGCACAGCGTCCTGTGGTTAGGAAGTGTCTGATCTTCACCTCAGACCAAATTCTTGGATTCCGTCATCTATTTGTCCTGCATTTACCCCTTCCTCCATCTGCCATGTGTCCTCTCTGTAGGCAGTGAGTGGTTGGCCATGTTTGGGGACAAATGTTACTAGTTCTGGTTAAAGGAAGAGGTGAACCCTCTGCTCCTGGGGGCTAGTCACTTCCCACCCATGGTGGAACTGGAGGAACCCCCTTAAGGAACCCTCTAAGAGCCCTGGATCTGTGGGTAGCTAAAGGCCCCCAGCTAGGACACTGAGCAGAGGCACATTTCTTACCTTAGGAAAGAGAAGTCCTGGTCATGCCTGTGCCAGAGTGCAATGTACACTCTGTCCTGTGTCCCCAGTGCTTGTGAGATTTCAGCAGAAATAAGGCTCCCACGGTCCAGTATCTCTGTGTGCAATATTCCTTTCTTGAAAAGAAACAATTTAGGAGAATATATTAAATGAGCTGAGAATTCTCAGAGTAAAAGAAAGTACTAGACTTTAACTCAGCTTTTCCAAATACATTTGGCCATAAATATATTTGGGTTTAAAAAATGTTTTTAAACTGTGCTCGAGTTCCATGGGACACACTTTGGGAAGCAGGTCCCCTTGTACATATTTTCCTCTTGTTTGATCTGCTTTGGTGTCCCATTCACAAAGGGCTAACTGTGGGAGCCGATTTTCAGGTTCCTAGTGGCTTTACCCAGCAGGTCTGAATAAAGAGGGATGATTGGATCACAGGCCTGAGTGGAGGTGTCTGAGGTGGTCTGCACTTGGCTGTGCTGGGGGGAGGTCTTTTGCTCCACCCCTTGGTGTCTCTATAAATACCTTAGGGCAGAGACAGTCAGGGCTCGTTGGAATAGGTTCCAGGCCCTCTCGAGGCTATCCTGCATTTTCTATCTGTTTATCTCCACACTCTAAATCCTTCTATCTAATATTTCCTGCTGCTCGCACTCAAGAACACTCAGGGGAGCTGTGGGGTTGGTGGGTAAACGCCCTGCAGCTAACACTATGAGGAAATGTGACCACCTGGCGACAATAAGGAGAGTCTCTTAGGGGGTGACAAGGGCTGGGGGAGCCCACTCCACACGTGCAGACACAGGAACTCAGGAGTGACTTGTCCCTAGTGGCACAGCCTGGGAATGGGGAACATCTTGACTGCAATGGGAAGAAATAGCTAAGAAGAGCGGAAGGTGGTGGAGACACCACGGAAGCACGTGGGTGGGACAGAGGGCTTGGAGCCGTGTGTGGCCTTCGGGGTTAGACCCTGTCTAAAAAGGAGAGGTGAGAAGGAGGTGAGGACGGCTGGTGTTGGCACATCGCCCCGCTTCATTGCCGATTGCTGTGATAAAGACTGGATAGAAGCAGCATGCGGAGGAGAAAGTTCACTTCATCTCACAGTTCCAGGTTCACCATTGAGGGAAAGCAAGGCAGGAACTCGGAGGCAGGAGCTGATGCAGAGGCCATGGAGGAGTGCTGCTTACCTGCTTGCTCTCCATGGCTTGCTCAGCCCACTTTCTGATACCATCCAGTACCACCTGCCCCGGAGTGGCACCACCCACAGTGAGCTGGGCCCTCCCACATCAGTCACCAATCAAGAAAACACCTCACAGACTTGCCTCCATGTCAGTCTGATGGAGGCGCTTTCTCAGTTGAGGTTCCCTCTTCCCAGATGAACCTAACTTGTGACAACTTGACAGAAGCTAGCCAGCACATGCATACGTGTGGTGCTGACATCCCAGGATGTGGCCCTGACTTGGGGGAGGGGCTCCCAACAGATTGGGCCCAACCATTTCCCTCCAAAATCCAACAAAGTAATATTGGAAAGACAGGAAGGGAGTTTAATAAATATGGCCCAGGCTAATTGTACTGGGGAAATGGAAGACATGAGCATCTCAGCATATCTTTGGAGCTCTGACATGGGTTTAAACAGAGGAAGAGCTGAGGTCAGTCGAGAGGTCTGTATGAATAAGCAGTCTGATCACTACCTCACTTCTGGTCCTGCTTGTCATGGATCGATTGTGGGAGCAGCCTGGTGTCTTTCAGATGATTGATACTGTTTAGGGGGCCAGCCCTGGTTCCCCTCCTAAGGAGATTCACCACCAAGGCTCTGCTGTTTCTGGAATCCAATTGCAGGTAATTGCAGATTTAAGGTAGTGACTGGCAACTTCTAGATGCTGTCTCAAGGGGTCTGGGACAGAATATTATAAAACTTGACGCTCCAAGGCCTGATGTCCGGGCTGAGGAATGGCTCAGCCATCGAAGTGCCTGCCTTGCAAGCATGAGGAGGGGGCATGAGCATTTAAAAAGCCAGGTTTGGTGGTGCACATTTGCGATCCCAGTGCCGCACAGGCAGAGACGGATGTCCCTGGAGCTTGCTGGCAGCTACGTTAGCCTAATCAACGAGTTCTAGGTCAAGGAGAGACCCCGTCTCATATGCACACACAAAGGATATATAGCACCCAAGAATAATGGAATAATGCCCAGGTTATCCTCAGATGTGCACACACACACACACACACACACACACACACACACACACACACACGGAACATTTCTCCACAGAAGCAGCCCTCAGGTTCCATAGGGTTTCCTTCTTTAGTTTTTTTGAGACAGGATCTTGCTATGTAGCCCAACTTGGCCTCAAACTTGAAGTCCCCTTATACCAGCCTTCCAAGTGCTGAGGTAGCAAGCATGTGTAACCACAACACTCAGTTCCATCATTTTTGGTTTTGATTTAGTTTATTCATTCATTCATTCATTCATTCATTCATTCATTCATTCATTCAACAAACCAACCACATTTATCAAGTATCTACATTTGCCAGTACCGAAACTTTATCAGAATGTACTATTATAAATGTGTACCAATAAATTTATAATTTACATACTAATTCTTTTGTGGGTTTCAGTGCAAGGGAGAATCCCATCTATTTAGACGTTGTTCCCTTCCCTGAGGGTGTTTGGGAACAGCCAGCATCGTAAGGCCTGGAGGTGTTCAGAGAGGCTCGTCTCTCTCTTCTCCTCCTGACCTACACTTGAAAAGGGGGTGCCATGGTCATGAGCCTGTGCTGTGCGCAGTGCATGGTTTGGGCAGACGTCCGATTTGGAAGTGGTCTTGTTTCATTTATAGACTGTGGTTTCTAAGAGGACGGTGCCAGCCTTTGAGGGGAAGCACATAGGAAAGGTCCACTTGCTTGAGGTGAGAGTAGTTAAAATGTGGAATGACTAAGAATGTAGGTTTGGAGTGAGTGTGTGTGGGAGTGTGGGGTTTTTGTTTGTTGTTGTTGTTACAGGGTCCCATTTTGTAGTGCAGCCTGGCCTCAGGCTCACTGTGTGGCTCAGGCTGGCTTTGAATGTGTAGTCTTCCTACCTCTGTCTCCTGGGCGTGGGGTTAGAGGTGTGCACAGCTGGATACAGGAGATTCCTAGAAATAGGAAAGCACAGCACCCGTGCATGGCCACACCAGGTGGGGTAGGGTGGAGTTCCCTGCCCACCAGAGGCAAGAGTGAGGGGCAAGCCCGGGTGAGGACTTTGGGAGGTAGGCTTAGGGTCAGCTAGCTTGACTAATTTGGGCTGGCTCTAAGGCTCAGGTCTGATGCCCAATCCAGGCAAGACTAAGGTAGGGGACAGTGGCTGGCCAAGGGCTGGCTGGCTCTGCACAGTTTGCACACAAAGGGCCGCTCTTGGGTTTCTGTGCTTCCCTCAGGAATGAACCTCACATCAAGGATAAGGATAGCAGCCTACCAGCCCCTGATATGGCGTACAGGGGCGGGGAGAGGGGAGGGCCTTTGGAAACGGGGCCGGCACATGGTGCGACCTGACCTTCTCATCTCCGCCCGCTGCTCCCACAGGGTGAAGCAGTCTGAGCTGTTTGACAGGTGGAAGAGCCTTCAGATATGCAAGTGGGCGATGGACACCTCTGAAGCCAACCTGTTCAAGTATGCATTGCCGTCTGCCTGCCTGCCTGCCTACCTCGTGGCGTGGGTCCCCACTGGCACCTCTTCAAATACCCATCATCTGTAACACCTGGTTCTCAGTGGGCATCCGCCTGGAGCTGGCCCCCAGGGCCTTAGGCATGTGAGCAAGGCCAGCACCCGCTCAGCCAATGGCCCCCCATGCTTTGCTGTGGTCCTTGCCGTGCGTAGCCTTACAAGGTTGGGGCTGTCACGTCTAGCTCAGGCTGGTGTTCACTGAGGCTCCTAGGAGGGAGGTACTCACTTAAGATCTCTCCATAGCCCTCATAGTCTCACTGCCCCACCTCCCCATCCTGGGACAGCGGCTCTGCCCACCTTCTTAGAGGGCCCCATGTCCATCATGCTTCTGCCTGATATCTGAGCCTGGTCGTTGATTTTTTAAATTGCTCTCTGACCACAATGAACAGATAGTAAGCTCCGGAAGAGGCAGTAGCTGTATTTCCAGGCTCTCGTGGGAACCAAACAGATGAGAGACATCCATAACTGCTTGTTCGTTAATGATGAGCTGTGGAGTTTTCTCCATTGCTAGCCTGCCGCCAGCTTGAGGTATCATTCCAGGGCAGGTAGACCTTACACTAGGAAATTGACGTGGTTCTGGCGACTGGTGTCTACACTGGGTTTCAGCCACTCGGGTTCAAGTTGAAATGTCCTGAGGAGCTACTGACATGAAGGGACCCTGTAAAGGAGGCTGTCGAGAGTGGGCGTCACCAAACATTTGTACTTTCATTATCAAGACTTTCTTCACTCCGTGGTGATTCCAGGCCAGGAAGTTTGCTCTGTTCTTCTGTTCCTCTCCCCACCTCCCTTCCCTTCTTCTCTTACCTTCCTCTCTCTTTCTCTGTCTGGACAGGGTCTAACTGTGCAGCCTACATTGGCTTCAAACTCCTAATCCTGCCTCTCACTCCCAAGTGCTGAGGTTACAGGTGTGTAGGGTTAGGAGTATAAAGCCTCACACTTTTAGAAATATAACAATTTGACATAATGAGCCCCAGTGAGCAGGTATGAGAAGCCTCAAGGAAGCTGCAGAATTCTAGCCCTGGTCTGAGGAGATCCACCTGCCCTGAAAGTTCTAGTGGGCCTGGGCAAAGGGTCAGAGCATGCCGAACAGACCCAGGATCTACCCCCCTGACGTACGCCTTTATGCTCTTCCCTCTAGATGTCCCCAGGGCAGGAGAGGCTTGAACACGTGGATGCTGATCAATAGCATGGACAGAATGAGCCAGTGAGGTGTGCCAGGATGTGGGTCAGGCTGAATTGGGACAGAGGTCTCATAGGGGGGGACTCCCATCAAAAACAATGCTAACATGACAGGACAAGATAAATCAATAGAAACGCAGAGCTCCGTTTGTGAGCCAGCTCTGTGAGGTGAGGCTGTGGGGGAGAGCTTATCGGGAGCAGAGAGCCCTGTGGGGAGCAGAGAGCCCTGTGGGGAGCAGAGACCCTCGGGTTAAGGATGTGGAGTGGACTTAGGTGTGGGGAAAGAAGGTGCCATTGGACCTTGTTGTGTTCCGGACAGAAAGGCCTTAGGACCATTAGTTGCCTCCGTTTGTTCTCACTTCACACTTCTGGAAAATGGAATGCTCCTCCATCCAGGTTGGTGGGAACCTGGTGCCGTGCAGGGGTGAGGGACTGGCGTTCCAGGTACAGGAGAGCCGTCCTCCATCCTGCTGTCTGCAAACCTGCCATTCTGGTTCACACACCAGGCGCATGTCGGCTTGTTTCATATGGGGGTGTTCTCCAGTTGGCAGACAAGGCTGTTTCTGCATTTATAAAGCTGAAGGGTTCAGACAACGGTTTGTAATGCTGACCTGTGGCTCCTCAGGTGCCAGGCTTCAGCCTTTCTTTGGAAGCCTTAGTCACATTCTAAAATCCAATTCTCCACAGATAGGCTACTTTATGACTAGCAGCCAGCAGGTTTCCCAGTCAAGATTTCTCAGCAATATGTGAAATCATAAAAAAGGTCATTTAACCTTTACATTTAACCTTTTGGCTCAGACAAGCTGGAGTCACAGAATTATAGAGGGTCAGAAACAGAAGGGCCACCCCTGCATTTTATAAATGAAGAAACTGAGGCCTAGAATAGAAAGACACTTGCCTGGGGCCCACAGCCTCGGGCCACAGAGAAGAAAACAGAGTCCAGGCCTCTGGATGCTAAGTGCTAACTCATATTTCCACCTCAGAGCTCATGAGAACACTCCAGACCTCCTCCTGGACCTGCCAGTGGCCATTGGTGGAAGGAGCCACCTGGACCCTGGGGGCATTGGGCTTGGAGTTGTGTGTACTCCAGACCTCCTGAGCCTGCTGGGGGGTGTGTGGGGGCGTGTGAGGGAAGATTGTGTGTGTGTGTGTGTGTGTGTGTGTGTGTGTGAGAGAGAGAGAGGGGGGGGGGGGGGGGGGGAAGGAGGGGGGGAGGGAGAGGGAGAGGGAGGAGAGGGAGAGGGAGAGAGAGCGAGAGCGAGAGCGAGAGCGAGTGAGAGAGCTCACAGGGCTTTGTGGGGGGTCATCACAGGGCTCTGTGGAGGAGGTCCATTCTCCCAGGGCTTCCTGGACACTGCAGGGGACTGAGCCTGGGGCTGTGTGTACTCTAGTCTAACTCAAGGAGGCAGTGATCTGTGCCCACAGCCATAGACAGAGCCCATTAGGTTTTCAAGCAGGGGCAAGGCTGCCCAGGAGTTAACCCTTTCAAGAGCATTCTTGGAGAGTCCTTAAGAAGAGAGAAAAACAGGTTGCTTCAACAGCCCCGTTTCCCTCGGGCTTTTTATTTTATATTTTATATTATTTTAAATCGGGTGTCTGAGCTTTAATTCCTCTTCAGCTCAGCTTTGAGTGTTTTTGAGACAAAAATGTCAGGACCTTTTCTCCTTCCTTCCTTCCTTCCTTCCTTCCTTCCTTCCTTCCTTCCTTCCTTCCTTCCTTCCTTCCTTCCTCCCTCTTTCCCTCCCTCCCTCTTTTCTTTCTATACTGAATTCCTGAAACATCTTTCAGGAGCCATGCTCCACTTTCTGAGAAAGACATCTGGCACCAACCCAGTGTCCCCATTCTGCCCCTGCCCTTTCTCTAAGCCAACTTCTGACTGTCTGATATGACACTTTGGGTGACCATACAAGCTTGGTTTATAGTTTGGTAAGGGGAAATCTCTGTTGAGTGTTGGCCATGGGGGCTGAGACCCTAAAAAGCTCTGGCTTCAGGTTGATGGATGAGTGGAAGGGAGAAGGTGAAGAGCATGTCCCAGAGCACTGAACTCTGAGGGGGAGCCTTGCTGTCACTGAGTGGGCGTTGGTTAAGGCCTGGCTGGTGTGACTGTCACAGGGTGGTTTGTACAAGTCTGTGCTGAGAGCTAGGTGAGGTTTAGAGAGGTATAGGACCTGGTATCCGGCTTTCCTCCCAGCCTGAGAAGGCAGGTGTAATGACTTAAAAACAAAAACAAAAACAAAAAAAACAAAACAAAACAAAACAAAAGTAAGGTGAAGTGGGTACCTTTCAGCGGGCCCCGCCAAGGTATGCCACCAAGTAAAAATGCCATGCACAACAGAGTTAGTGCAAGAGGTTTATTGAGGGAGGTGGGAGGGAGAGAGTGAAAGGCTGTGTTGGGGTGGGGACATGAGAGAGGCAGGCAAACAGAGAAGAGGGGAGAGACGAGGAAGAAGAGAGGCAGGAGATCAAGCTGTGCCTGGGTGCCTTTAAGGGGTGCACATGTCACACAGCTGGGGTTGAAAGGCACCTGGTGACAGGTGATGACGTAACTGCCCTGGCAGCGAGGCAGGCTGCCGCTGCAGCTGCTGCAGCTTCGAGAACTAACTGCAGGTGATTAGCACGTGATTAGTCTGTGCCAGAGCCTTCAAAGACAAGAGCCATCATGGAAGTGTGGCAGCCAGAGCCTTCCCATGGGCAGCTAACCTGGGTCCTAGAGAGACAGAGAGGCCCAGGTACGGGGGGGGGGGGGATGCTGAGGGGGTGGGGAGGAAGTGGGTATGGGAATGAGATGGAAAGCAAGGGGCCCTCCTAAGCTCTGCCAAGTGTCACCCTGTCTTCATGCCTAGCAGGTCCACCTTGTCCAGGTGCTGCAACGCCCCTGGCTTTCTCTTCACCACCCAGAAGAACACTCCAATTGAGACGAATCTCAGGTACGAGGTGGAGTCCAGTGGCTTCTATCACATCAATCAGGAGATCTTCCAGATGTTTCCCAAGGTGCGCCCCCAACATGGTTGTCTGGGAGGGAGCTGGTGGTCAATGCCAACTAGCTATGGGTGTATGATTTGGGGCAAAAAGAGGTTAAAGTTCTGCCTAGTTAAAATTCTAAAATTCGTGCTGAGGACATTCCACAGCTATCTAGAAGAGGGATGAATTGTAGCTTGATCCCGAGTCAGGCACAAGAGAAAAACACACTGGAAGCATGCGAGCACCAGAAAGCAGGCAGCACGGAGCCAGGCCTGAATGTCAGCCACATCAGATAACCTTGGGGTCGTTGGCAAGAACACCTTTTCTTAGCATTTATTGGTTATACATAATGATTGGTTTTATTACACCATTTTCGTACATGGCTATGATGTATTTTGATCATATTCCTGCCACTTCCACCACCACCTTCTCTTGTTCCCTTCCCATGCCCCTCCATTCCCAATCACTCTCCTCTCATCCTTTTTTCTTCAGTAATTCAATGGGTTTTATTGGAGTTGCCTCCAGGAGCATGGGCAATTTTCCCATGAGCACACTGCTGAAGAAAATATCTCTCCATCCCTAGCAACCATTAACTACCTGTAGATCCTCAGGGAGGGCTGGGGCTCGTAAGTCCATCCCCATTCCATAACAGCATGTCAACTGGTCCAGTCTCATATGATAATCACAGCTACTGCAAATTCAAGAGTGCCACCATCAAGCCTTGACCAGATGCCCAGAAGACAGCATTCTGCCACACTCCACCCTGTCCTATGGCTCTTCCACAGTGCCCTTTCCCCTTTCCACAATGTTCCCCGAGATTTGGAGAAGGTGATATGGATGTCCCATTTATGGTTGGCCATAAATGATCACTTATTCTCAGCACTTTGTCTAGTTATTAATATCTGAGATGACATACACTGCCCACTGCAAAAGGAATTTCTCTGAACAAAGCTGCCAGAGATACTTAGGGACACATGGATGGGCTATTTGATGGGCACGTCATGTCCATTTAGTATGTCAACAGCTACAGATTCCTCCCTGGGCCTTAAGACCTCCCCAGCCATGAGCTTTTGACCAGGCTGTAGTATCCAATGCAAATTCTCTTCTGTGCTGTGGGACTCAGTTAGAACATGGTTAGTTGTCTCCACAACAGACTTGACACTACTATTCCAGTGGGCTCATCTCGCCTGGCCAGTTGTTAGTGTAGCACTTGGGTGATCTTTTTCTCCCATTAGGATCTCAGTCTCTATCTATGACACTGGGGTTCAGAGCAGTCTTAGCTTTGGTTGCTTATACTACATCTACGATATCGGAGATGTTGTATGACGGTGGATTGGGCAGTGATAGCAATAGTAGCTCCCTGCCCATGGGCTACCGAGTGAGGGGGGTCCACATCCATGACCCGTTTAGATCACTGAGTCTGACAACTGGCACAGCTCCAAGTTCTGGACTCTTGGGAGAAAAGATAAAGAAATTGTGCTTTTGGCTGGTTCGGATGGTTCTGTGGTGTTGGGGTGGTGTGGCTTTGGCAGAGAGGCAGGTGGCAAGGGTGTATCCATGGCTATGTTCTGGAAGGCGAGCTCCAGGATACCCTGCATGTTTTAGCGGGTCAGGGGAGGTGCTAACAGGATAAAACCAGAATCTCTCTGTATGTCCCATTGCTGGTACCAGAGTTATATGGCAAGATGTGGTCTCAGGGAATGATCCAAAGGTACAGCACAGTGCTGGCGTTGAACCGCCTTTGACGAGTGAGTGTCTGAGGTGGGTGGTGGATAAGCTTTCATCTTAAACAGGTCACAGCAGCATGTGACGTAGCCTGGGTCAGCCTGTGGGTCCTTGGAGAGCCAGGGCATGAATTGCTGAGGTCAGGAGACACAGCAGGGTCTCTGCACCTTTCTCTGGGAAGGACCAGATAGTAAACAGCCTTGTCACCGTCACCACCACCACTTGCCACCGTGGTCCCCTCATGAAAATGGCCACGATCATGAGTAAACTAAAGAATGAGGCTTTGTCTCAGTGGCACAGACATCAGTAAGTTTGTGTGATGTTCACAAGTCACACGTCTTACTGGAGTGGCTTCAGACCATTTTAAAAATATAAATGTTAGTCTCAGCTTGCTGGCCATACAAAAATGGTGGTAGACCAGATGTGGCCCATGGCCATGATTTTCTAGCCCCTGAGTCATGGCACACAGCAGCTTTCCTTAGCATAGCGGTGTCTCTGGGGCTTTAAAGGGTCAGCATTCCAGCTTCTTGCCCACCCAGAGATTCTGATTCTGTGGCTGTTAGATGGAGCCTAGAAATGGCTGTTTCCAAATAGTTCTTCATTTGCACGTTTAGGACACACTCGTGGTTAACACAAGAAACCCCCAATGACTTTTCCTAGGACTACTGTGGCTCATTCTGTTTCTCCCCCTATTGCCTCTGAGACTGAAGTGCTCTCCCTGTCCTGGCACCCTGAACCTGTCCCCACAAGGGGAAGTGGGTCACAGACTCAAGTGTGCCGCAGAGGGCCATGACAGCTGCTTTTGATTGAGCCCAGTTCCTGATGCAGAGTGGGACCCTCAGCAATTGGTTGGCTGGTGGGGGCTGGGGGCAAAGCAGGCCTGTAGACCCCTTGGTGTCAGCCATGGAAGGGGTCACCCAATGCAGCAAGCCTTTTCTTCCCCCTTTGCATCTGTAAGTTGGGCTCGCTCTTCTCTCTCCTTCAGGACAAGGCTGCCTTGTTGGGTAGAGCTCATAGAGGGGATATTTGGGGGGGGGCAGAGATGAAGCCTCAGGTGAAGGTGGGGTAGCATGGGCTGTGACACCGTGCATGTACCTCTCCAGGAAATGCCCTACTACCGATCTCAGTTTAAGAAGTGTGCTGTGGTGGGCAATGGAGGCATCTTGAAGAACAGCGGCTGCGGGAAGGAGATCAACAGTGCCGACTTTGTCTTCCGGTAAGGGAGCTGCCTGGAGGTACGTCTGCTGCCTCTGTGGCCCCCCTCTCTGAGCCCTTCCCCCACATTGTCCCCATCCCTGTGCTCTGCTGCCGCCTTAAGCACACTTTCGAGATTCAGGGACCTCTTATGCTTCCAGCCCTATGGACTCTGGGGTCTCAGTTTCTACTTTTCAAAATGGAGAATGGGGTATGTGAAAGGCTAATGGCATTCTGGATGGGAGACCCTAAAACTAACATCCCTGTAGAGCTGACAGTGAACTCTCTACATGGGTTGTCCCCACTGCAAACACTGGTGGGAGGAGGGATGCCTGTGACTTCACCCAGGCTCTAAAAGAGCCAGCGAGGGGTCTTTGCATTTCTCCGTTCTTATGGGGCATGCCCCTCTTTTCATGTGGGGATCCTTACTTTCCTCCTTAGCCCAGGCAGGGAGAATGAATTGAAGATGAAAGCTTCCAGGGCTGTGGAGATGGCTCACCAGTTAAGAGCACTGGCTGCTCTCCCACCACCTACACCCTTCTCCAGGCTCCTAAAGAACTTGGTGTCACTCTCAGGGGACATTTGGCACCTGTCAGCGAGGTTGTCTCTCTTATGGGGACTGGAACCATAGACACTCTGTTGTTCAGTTTGCCTTATTTGGGGCTGTAGGAATTTCTTCCTGCTACTATGACAAATTACCAGGAAGCCAGTGGCTTGAACAGACAGGGTTTAAGGTCTTCCACTCTGGGGATGAGATGTCTTGGTGGGATACGGTTAAGGTGGCAGTGGGACCTGGTCTCTTCCTGAACGCTCTAGGTGAGAGGCTGATGGCTTTTCCAGCTTTAGGCGCTGCCTGCGTCCTTGGCTCACACCAGCACGGCAGTGTCTCCTGCTCTCTCTCTCTCTCTCTCTCTCTCTCTCTCTCTCTCTCTCTCTCTCTCTCTCTCTCTCGTTCTATTGTCATCCCCACCCCATCTTTCCTTCCTCCCCTTCTTTCCTTCCTGTTTTTGAAACAAGTACTCAAAAAGTAGCCCAGGATGGCTGCAAACTGCCATCTTGTTGTCCAGCCTCCTGCATGCTGGGATTGCCATCCTGTGCCACCGCACCAACTTTACATGCTTCCTCTCTCCTTTGGGCATGTCTATTCTTGGTTGTCAACTTGACTTCATCTGGAATTAGTTAAAACCCAAGCAACTGAGTACCTGTGAGAATTTTTTTTTTCTTAATGAAATCATTTGAAGCGGGAAGACCCACTTTTCATAAGGATCTTTTGAGACGGGAAGATTCAACATCAGTCTGGGCCACACCTTCTGCTGGTGGCCTTTCAAAGGACATGGAAGAAGGAAGCTTGCTCTCTTTGTTTGCTGGAAAGTCCATCCCTTCACTGGCATTAGAGCCTACTTCTTGGGGATTCTGGCGTAGACTGAAGAGTAGCTGAGACATCAGGCTCATGGACTGAACAACTACTGGATTCTTGGACCTCCCTTTGGTAGACAGCCATTGCTGGACTAGCTGGACCACAGCCTGTAAGCCATTCTAATAAATTCCATAAACTTATATGTGACTCCCATAAATATGTATATGAACCTGACTAATACAGATTTTGGGACCAGAAGTGGTTCTAGAGCAACAGATATACAAGGATGAAAATTTTAAGTATCTAGAATAGGTTTTCCAATTTGCCAACACCCACAGTTACTGAAGCCTCTTCTAGAAGCTTGGGGAATACTGAAAGCCCATGGTGTGAACTTTTAAAAAAACTTTTAAAAAAGTTTATTTTATAAACTCAAGGAGACATGTATTTGATTATCCTGATTTACCAATTGTGAGAGACAACAGATTTGGCGACTCTGTATGTAAAACTTTGGACAATTTTTTGGAATAAAAGGACAAGGATGATGCTGTGTGGTTGTTCCTAGCACCTCTGGATGAACTGACAAAGGAAAAGAATGAGCTCTGTGATAAAATTAACCAACTTGTAGCACCTCAGAATATGGGAAGGACAACAATGATGCTAATGAAACTGATGGGGTCTGGATGCACATGAATAGTCTAAAGGTTCCCAAGTGTGCCCTGGTAGAGAATCTTCTCTCTAGCAGCCTCAGAGCTCAAGTTGTAGAAAACCAATCTGAAGCCCTCACTATAAGGTTGGCTACATTACAGCGAAAACTCAAGTCCCCTCTTCTGAAGGTGTCAGTGGTTAAGGGAATGACATTAATTGATAAAGAAGGGGGCCCTGGAACTTGGGATGTAAATGTGTGAGAGAACCTTCCTGAAACTGAGAACTTTGAACCCTCAGATTCTCAAGGGTTTATCTCAACTGAGGAAGGAGTCTCTCCACCCTCGGCAGAAGATGTGTTCCCACCTCTACCCCCTGAAACATTGCCTTTTCCACCTTTGACTGAGGAAATTAATCCTCCATGGTCTGCTACACTGGCAGTGACATTCTCTGAAGAAGATGCCAGGCAAGACCATACTGATGAACCGCAGGCCCACCAAAAGTTGCTTTTAGACCTATAACCAGACTCAAGGCTAAGCAGGCCTAGAAGGGAGATAGAAAGTGTGGTCCATGAAGAAGTAAGCTCTACTACCAAAGAACTTAATGAGTTTGCTAATTCATTCAAGCAGACGTCTGGGGAATGTGTGTGGAAATGAATTTTAAGCGTGTGGGATAATGGCGGAAGAAACACAAAAGTGAATCAGGCTGAGTTTATTGACATGGGCCCAGTGAGTGAAGATCCTAAGTTTAACATGGAAATTTGCATAGTAAAAATGGTGTGGAAAGTTTGTTTGAATGATTGGCTGAAGCTTTTGTTAAAAGATGGTCTACTGAAAAGGAGTTGGAGATACCTGGTATACCTTGGTTTAGTGTTGATGAAGGGATTTTGAGGCTCAGGGAAATTGGAATCCTGCAGTGGGTCTGATGTGTAAAACCTAATCCCCCACAATGGGAAGGCCCAGAAGACACGCCCCTCACTAATCCTCTGAGACGCAAATGGGTGAGAGGGCAGCAGCCCATCTGAAGAGCTTTGTTGTCGCCCTTTTCCTTGCGTCAGACCTTAGGGTTGCAGATGCTGCTGCTCAGTTGGCTGCATTAAAGCAGTGGGTCTGACTGGGCTGCAAAGTACCAGGAGCAGCTGACAGCACTGAATCACTAAAAGCAAGGTGATCCTAGTTATCTCCATGGGCAGCACACACAAAACAATGCCCCTAATGGCTTAGCCCATAACAGGCTGCACACACAAAGTGATTTTTATAGGGAAATGATTCCTATGGGCCTTTGGTACTGGCTAATCAACCATGGTGTTTCCAGACATGAAATAGATAAGAAGCCTACTGCATTTCTGTTTGATCTGTATAAGTGGAAATATTCTCAAACAAATGAATGAAAGGCTACATTGATGGCAAAAGGCAGTCTACGCCCATGAACCAGTCTCCAGATGTGAGCCAGTCTCCAGATGTGAGCCAGTTTGCAGACCCAGAAGCTCTTGAATGAAGGAAGGCCAGGTTCCCCTGAGGAAAGACCTTGATTAAATATCTAAGAGTTTTATGTTAGCCTTTCTCCTGTCCTTACCCAGAGGCACCTTCCAAGAGGGAAAGGAAAGAATTAGATTTTCTAGGGTCTAGGGTCTATGGGATACTGGTTCTGAATTTATGCTAATTTGGGAAGACTCCAAGAAACATGGTTACAAGAAGTTGCCACAGTGTTTCTTGGGCTCCCTCTTAGGTTTATCTATCTATCTATCTATCTATCTATCTATCTATCTATCTATCTATCTATCTATCTATCTATCATCTCTTTCTCTCTCTCTCTCTCTCTCTCTCTATATATATATATATATATATATATATACCTACCTATCCGTCTATCTATCTATCTATCTATCTATCTATCTATCTATCTATCTATCTATCTATCTATCTATCATCTCTCTCTCTATATATATGTATATATATACACACATACATACCTATCCGTCTATCCGTCCGTCCATCCATCCATCCATCCATCCATCCATCCATCCATCCATCCATCCATCCATCCATCTAATCTATCTATCTATTCTATTCCTCTAGAAAACCCTGACTAGCAGACTAAAGGACCTTTCTTGTCATATCACATTTTCTTTGTAACGGCTCTTGTGATTTCCCTGGACCCACCTGGACAATCCAGAACTGTCTTCCCATTTCAGGATCCTTAGTGTATTCCCAGCTATAGTGCCCCTTCTGCCAATTAAGGTGCATGTTACCCAGTTTTAGAGGTTAGGGTGTTGTTGCCTTGGTGACTCCACATTCCTACTTCAGGGGCTTTCTGCAGTCCACACTGCACACACTTGTGCAACTTTGTACCTCAGTGTTGTATTTCCAAGGGGTGTTGGGGTGTCTTTGAATGTCATACAGGTATTTGGTCCCTCTGCCAGCTGACTTTTGCTAATTTCTGCCCTTAGCTCAAGCATTGCTTCCTCAGAGAAGCCCCGAGTCCCCAGACAAGGGGATGCTCTTGTATCTTCCTGCTCAATGTCATACCATTCCAGAGATGAGGAGATGACCACAGCTTTCAAGGACATGTTTTCAGTGATAGTTTCAACATCTCCATGGTTGTAGACCAAGTGATTGGAGTTTTTTTTGCTCTTCTGTTTCTGATAAAGGGCAGAAGGACCTTTGCTTTAGCCGGCCCTCGATGTCCTGCCCAGCTGGTAGCCTCAGCCTCTCTCTGACCTGTAACCATATCCTTTCCTCTCCTACTCCCAGCTACTTGAAGATAACTGTCCACCTAACTATGTGAGGCTTTCTCTCTGCAGGTGCAACCTGCCCCCCATCTCAGGGCAGTATACCACAGATGTGGGGGAGAAGACAGATGTAGTCACTGTGAACCCCAGCATCATCATTGACAGGTCAGTGGTCCTTTTTCTAGACACCTGTGGTCTTTTTTGGTGGCCACCAGTCACCTACAACCATTGGGCACTGGGAACATGGTTGGTCCTAATTGAGATGTGCCGACTGTCTACATGAGGCATTCACTGGGTGTCAAAGGTTTAATACATACAAAGGGACTTAACATATCTTATTGATTTCTACATTAATCACATGCTAAAATGATAGTACTTTTATATTTGGTTAAATAAAATATGAAAATTATTTTTAATAACTTCCCTGATTTCTTGTTAATTCTGTACACGGGGCCTGCATCATGTTTCTTTTTGGCAGTGCAGGTCTGAGCGGGTGTTACCTACAGGTGGTCAGGGACACTTCAGATGGGCTGGGGGCAGGCCATGGGGGTGTGATCCAGGTATGGGGGTGTGATCATGTAAAGATCTCAGCTCTCACTTGGCTGCCCTCTGTGACTCTAGTGTGTTGAAACCCCAACGCTGCACATAGTTAGCCTGGCTAGAGTGTGGGTAAGAGGGACGGGAGAAGGGGAGGAGTTGCTAAATTACATCAGATACCAATAGCCAGGAGCCTTCAGAGAGCAGAGATGGCTGCAGAGGGATAGATGGTCACTGGAAAGGACATATAGGCAGAAGCCAAGATGTCAAGGAGAGGCCTAGCCAGTCCAGAAGGCTGGGTCAGATGGTCACTCCCAATCTTAGGGGAAAGAGCAGGGAAGTGATGTGAGGCTCCATTGCCCAGCCACGGCCTCCGAGCCTTCCTTGTCTGCCCTGATCCTCTAAGTTGAGCATTGCTGTCTCACTGTAGCCCCATGCTAGTTATTCAGCCCATTGAAAAAAAATACCATCTTCAAGAAAAGCCATACTCCTGGGAGCCATGAGATGCCTCAGAGGGTAAAAGCTCTTGGTGCTCATTTTGAAAACTTGAGTTCAATCTCCAGGGCCTGTAAGTGAGTCTTTCTCTGTTCCACCAGCCACTTCCTGAATCACAATACAGAGACTTATTATTAATTATGAAAGCTTGGCTGATAGCTTAGGCTTGTTTTTAGCCAGCTCTTATAACTTAAATTAACCCATTTCTATTGATCTATGTGCTGCCCTGAGGCTCGTGGCTTGTTATCTCATCTTCTACATGTCATGCTTCCTCCGTGTCTCCTCTTGACTCTGCCCTTCTTCTTCCTAGCATCCTCTGTGCCTGGAAATTCTGGCTAGCCATTGGCCATTTAGCTTTTTATTAAACCAAGCAGAGTGACACTTCTTCACAGTGTACAAAAAGATTATTCCACAACATTTCCCCCTTTTGTCTAAATAAAAAGGAAGGGTTTTAATTCTAACACAGTAAAACTATATATAATAAGAACAATTATCAGGTATTTCTAAGTAGGAAGGGAAAAGTATTAGCTTTAACAAATGAAACCATATACAGTAAGAATATTTATCAAGTAAGAATTACATTTACAATGTCCAGTCCATTTGTATTTGGCAAATTTAGAGAAAATACTCCATTATTTATCCTCTCTTGATGAAGTCTAAAGTTTGGTACCTGATTAATCTTCTATTATAACTAAGGAAAATTGTAACTATCTAGTCTTCAATCCATCAAAGACCCCAGAAGGATATAATATTACCTGAGTAAATAGGAAGTGCAAAGCAAACTACTTTCAAAATGACAGAGGTTGCTGGCTGCCTGAACAGTTACCCAAGGTTCCTCTACAGAGTTACAACATTGGGGCATACATCTTCAGCCTACAGACCTAGAATATCTGACAGACTTTTCTGTGAAGCAGGAATTTTGAAGAACTGACCTACCTTGTCTTGGCAAAGTTTGACAATTGCCTTTTGTGTATGTGTGTGTCCGTGTCCTACTTGTCCAGTTTGGACAACATACTGTCGGCAGTTGAGGTAAGGACAGTTTCTTGCCCAAATGGCTAGCTTTTGCCACAAAGGAAGTAAATTCCAACTGGAGGTTCTTCAATGCCCATTGTCCTTTTCTGAAGTAGATTGGTGCTGCCAGGAGCAGATGTGTCTCACTGTCATGAAAAGCCTTACATTATTAAAACATCTTAAATGCCATATTCTGTAGGTCTTTGAAGTGTTTGAAGACCATCTATTTAAAATATATCTTGTTTTACTTTGAAAATATGCCTAATATGACTACAAGTTTGATTGTTATGAATGACTAACTACTAACCTGTATTTTTAAAATTATACATTACATTTTTAAATAAGCTGCGTAAACACAATACCCCAAACAAGAGTAGAAACATGCATTCAGTATAACAAAAAAAAAAAAAACTTTAAATTTGTATCAATATACCCAAATCCATACCAATGTAAAATATTTGAGGTTAATGGTTGTCTTTTTATCCTATATTTATATATTCCCCCTAAACAATAACAAACACCCATAACCCATTGAATAACCAAAAGCCACCTACTCTGTCTTTTGGGGATATGAATGTTGTGTTCTCTAGATTACTTCCTGATGTCTGTGGATGAAAGCATCTTTAGGGAACCTGAGAAAATGGAGATAATGGTCAAGTCCTGGGAAAACTAGTTATAACATTTGTTGTCCAGTCTCTGTAATGAGAAAGCACAAGGCTTATCTGCAGTCCTGATTAGAAAAGTCTGTGAGGTTGGACCATCTCAGCCAGCAGCCTTGAAGCTGTTCTAGTTGCAGAACTCTGAGGAAATTCCAACAGAGGCACTCTGAGAGGCTGGATCAAAGGGCCACCTGCTTCCATTGGTGCCTGGTCCCCTTGTTCTGAAAACACATAAACTTTAAAAGGTAACACACATATCTGCATTAACATAAGTATGGACAGTGTGTTGTACACAAACCAGCCAAAGATGACATTTTGTTTTATGTTCGAACAGATAAAACATATGCCACCTGTCTTGTAGTTTTTCTAGGTTTATTTCTTTATGTCTGTAGCCAGGATCTTCAGGGGGTCTCCCCCAGTCAAACCTGATCTCTATCAATCTTGAATTGGATCTCTAGCCTTTCATTGTCCAATGTGGAAACAAAAGCATAATCTCTTCCCCAACTTAATGTATATATATACATTATATGTACACATATATAATGTATATACATTATATATACAATATAAATATATATATTTTACTTCAAAAAACAATTTTTGAAGTTAAGACATTTTAAAAACATATAAGTTGGTTTAATTTAGTAGTTTTTATAATCCAGTGTCTCTTAGCAGCTATTGTTTGCCCATCAGCAATCAAAAAATCTAAAGTCAATGCAACACCACACAGGATCCAGACTCCGTATTTTCCGTCTTTACATGGCTGTCCATTTTATGTTATTTTAGTTTTTTCTTTCAAGACTTTATCTTATTATTTATAAACTATTTTTTTCTATGACTGTCTATACCCATTTTCTTTTCTTTTTAAAGCCTAATCACATTTTTTTAAACACACTGTAACTTGTTTAGAGGATTTTTCCTGTCTGGATCTGCTTTACTACATATCTGTAACCTTTTCTGTCTGCATGAGCTAAACTTAAACCACCATATGGCCTAGCTCATGGTGCCCTGGCGGCTGGAGCCTGCAGGCAGCAGCTGGAAGATGTGTCTCTATACCATGGCCCGCATGAGAGACTGCAGGACTAGGAAGCCATGTTTAACTCTGTTTTTGTGTGTTTGGAACCTCTTTTAAGCTTTCTTAGGTCTTATGTGGAAATATGTGGCCCATGTTGGGCAGCATTTGTAGTGAATCTTTCTCTGTCCTGCCAGCCAGCTCCTAAGTCATGACAGGGAGACGCATTATTAATTACGAAGCTGGGCTGATAGCTTAGGCTTGTTTCTAGCCAGCTCTTATAACTTAAATCAACCCATTTCTATTAATCCATGTACTGCCCCTGGGCTCATGGCTGTTACTTCATCTCCTACACGTCATGCTTCCTCTGCACCTCTTCATGACTCTGCCCTTCTTTGTCCCAGCATCCTCTGTGCCTGGAAATCCTGCCTAGCTATTGGCCATTAGGTTTTTTTTTATTAAACCAATCAGAGTGATACTTCTTCACAGTCTACAAAAAGATTATTGCACAATAAGGGTCCACATGATGGAAGGAGAGAACCAATTCTGGCAGGCTGTCCTCTGCCCTCCACACGCATGCTCCGTAGCACGTGCCCCCTCCATGAATAAACAAACAAACAATAAATATGTAAAGGTAGGAAAGGGAGGCAGAAGAGGGGAGGTTAGGCAGCCCTGTGAGCCTGGAGGGGAAGAGGGTGAAAGGTGGGAGGTGACGGGGTGTGTGAGGTGAGGGAGGGGGTGTTAGGGTGAGGTGAGGGGGCAGGAGTGGGGGATGAAGTGGGGAGGCGGGGCTGTGATGATGCACAGGGCTTGCTGCTGCTCACTCTGCTACCCTGCAGGTTCCACAAGCTGGAGAAGTGGCGGCGGCCCTTCTTCAGAGTGCTGCAGATGTACAAGAATGCCTCAGTGCTGCTGCCTGCCTTCTACAATGTTCGCAACACCCTCGTGTCCTTCCGGGTCAAGTACCTGCTGGATGACTTCGGGTCACAGCAGCAGGTCTACTTCTTCCACCCGCAGTACCTGTCAAACATGTCCCGCTACTGGCTCAGCCTGGGCGTGCGCGCAAAGCGCATCAGCACCGGCCTCATCCTGGTCACGGCCGCCCTGGAGCTCTGCGAGGAGGTGCATCTGTTCGGCTTCTGGGCCTTCCCTATGAACCCCTCGGGCTACCACATCACGCACCACTACTACGACAACGTCAAGCCCAAGCCCGGCTTCCACGCCATGCCCTCTGAGATCTTCACCTTCCTTCACCTGCATAGCCGCGGCATCCTCCATGTGCACACAGGCACCTGCAATTACGGCTGACAGACAGGCCCATCTCAGGCGTCTCAGCTCCCATCCACTTCCCTTCGGGGTTCCCTGGCCCTGCCGTTAACTCCCTAAGGATTTAGGGTTTGTGTTTGGGGCCTGGGGTTGGGGTGGGGGGCGGGAGTCAGGGACAGAACCCATGCAAAGTCAGCTCTGCCCTGAGGCTCCATCCCGTGCCTCCCTTTAGTTGCTGAGCCACTCTCCAAGGTCAAGGTCATAAGCACATTTCCACTCAGTTTCAACTTCCCAGAGAACACGAACTGTGGTGGCCGGCTTGCGGCGAAGTCAGGCCCTGCTGAGAAGAGACTAGCAGGTGAGACATTCACTTAGCAGGAGAGAGCACAGTCCAGGCCTCATTCGGACATTTGGCTGCCCAAGTTTCATACCAAGGACTCAGCCATGAATCACCATCTAGAATCTCAGGGCTCAGAGGCTAGCCCTTCTAGGGAACTAACAGTGGCCAAGTGTCCTGGTCTACCTGGCTGAACTCAAAAGACTTCAGGGATATCTAATCCAGGCCTGTGTTAGCATCACCTAGGACTCCAGTAGCTGAGAGCCGTGCCCCCTTTACACAGTCCTTGGCCACACACAGCCTTGGTGCCTCTAGGTTCCAGCATTTGACCTTTGACAAGAACTAAATAAACCAGACCAGCCATTTGCACTAAGATCTCCTAGCCGATGTTATCGACTCAATAAGTGCTTAGCAATTTGCTTCCTGTTCTGTCTCCCTATTTTCAGCTCCATTTTAATCAGGAGTTATTTATAAAGATCTGTTCCTCTTTATGTCCCTGAATACTGCAGAATCTTGTTAAACTGTGTTCCTGAATAGGAAATCGTCAGCTGGAAAGCTCCTTGTCACGGGAGCCTGGCGGATGGCAGCTAGCTGGGGCTTTAACACCAACATCCCTGCTGTTTCTCTTGTGAAGGTGGCACACACAGGTCACATGCCTGCTGTCTTCAGACACAGGGATTCACCACACCCGGGGTTAGGGAACCCAGCTGTGCCTAGGCTGAGAGGTCCTTACGCCATCCACGTCTGAAATTCCTTTTAGTTGCTTCCTCCTGTGTATTTCCACCCAAAGTGTGATGGTGCCCATGGTCACTGTTGGTGGATTGCCTTTGTGGAATTGTGGATTGTGTGGGGAAGACTTTAGCTGAAGGCCCTTCCTTTGTCTTTTTCCCTCCCCATCCTCTTCCTCTCTCCTCCTTCCTTTCTCCGCCCCCCTTTAGACATTTCTAGAAAGCCTGTTTTTGGTCTGGTCTGTGTTTGGGTTGGGGATGACTCCCTGACAGAAGTGTCATCTCTGTCTTCTGCAGAGGAGCAGAAAGACCACATCTGCACTTCAGCCCGCATGCCACTCTCAGGAGCAGCTCTGAGAAACCCCCACGCAGGCCCTCCACCTGACCTCACTTTGTAGGTACCAGAACAGGCCCAGCTGAGGAGAGAGCTGGCTCTGAGGCTTCTGGCCAGCTGGAACTCCCTCCTCTTACTATTTTCTGAGCCTGCTTCCTCCGGGCTCTGGCCTGCAGGTGCCTGGAGCTCATTCCACACCCCACTGTCTGGATGCTAAGTCCCAACTGACTTTGAGGCCCTCCCAGGAGACCCCAAACCTTAGTCTGCAGGGATGTGAGGTCATGCAGCAGCTGCAGAAGCACACAGGGCAGCACACATTGGTAAACCAGGAGCTACCACACAAGGACAGGTGTGCTTATGGCTTTTCTGGCTATTTCTGCCAAGGAAGAAGTTCTGAGAATGATCCAAGTTAACTGAGGTTTATAGCCAAAGTCCACACCTAACTGAGTCCAGTTCTTAAAACCATGGAATGTCAGAACTAGAAGGTTTCCAAGACCTTCTGTCCCACTTAAGGAGACAGACCTAGAGTAGAGAAGAGACTTCAGTGGTCAGACTGAGTGTCTGCCAGGGACAAAGCCTGGGGAATAGGTGTACTGCAGGTGGGCAACAGCCTGGCCAGACATCAGGGTATCCCTAGTTGAGGGTGCTTAGAACCTACCCCAGCTAAAGCCCTCACAGGAGCTGGGGGTGGCAACCCAGATCCATCTCATGCCCATGCATGAGGAGGTTAGGACATCCTTCTGCCTTATAGTGGTCCTTCTGCCTATGAATTTCAAGGCAGATTCCTCCTGTCCCTCAGAATGTCAGTTTCCTTACCTCTTCAAGTAGAGACTTAGAAAGGACTTGTGGGGTCTCCACAGTGACTACTGAGGGACATCCATGATGTGTGGATCTAAGCTATAAATAGTATTTACTATTAAAACTGCTGTGTCATTGTTCTCTCCCGTGGTAGCCTTACACTGACCACTTTGCCCATCATCACAGTATCCTGTCATCACTACAAGACCCTTGAGGTAAAGGGGCTAGAATGGTACAGGTGATGGGCTGAGGTTTAATGACTCAGGCACTTGCTCAAGGAGAGGGCTCTGCAGAACTGTGCAGACCGCACTCCAAACCTGGGGCCCAGGAGGCAGCCTCTGCTCTCCAGTGCCTCTTTCCAGCCCTGACCTCTACAACAGTTTTGTGGCCTGTGCACTGTTGCCCTGGAGGAGAACTAAGGCCATCTCTACATTTTCGAGCAAGGAGAGATACCTGAAAAGCGTCCATGTTGAATGATAACATGAGTGACTTGCCCCAGGGCACATGGCCAGCTAGAGGCTCACCTGAGACTCACCCAGTCTCCTGGCTTTCAGACCACATGCTTTCTGCTGTAGTCAGTATGTGTAACATTTATCCCAAAGAGACCTGGACATTGATTCTGGGACCTCTCTGCCCCATCCCATCACACAATGCAGACTACCAGTTAAATTAGTTTAAGGACTAATCAGTTCCCCGTGAACCAAGCAGCTACTGTGTCTTCCTCTGTGCTGGAATCCATTTCCGGGCTTGAAAGGTGGCAGCAGCAGCAGCAGCAGCAGGTAGGTGACTCAGTGCTTAGGCAGGCAGAAAGGGAGGAGGCTCAAGGTCAGGCTGACTTCTGGAACCTTCTGCTGCTGCTGCTGCTGCCGCATCTCTGCCCAGACTTGGAGAAGCTTGGAACAACCCTAGATACCGCTGAGTCTGGGGAAGTAAGCAGAGGCTGCAGAGCATCCTATTGACTTCAGCCACGTATCACTGCATGCTCCTTGCGCCAGGGGATACGTGGTGGTTGAAGATGCCCTTCTGGTACTTACCATCATGTGTGGGTGCGCTGATGCAGAAAGAAGCCCTTCTCAAACACTCACAGGAGCTGCTGTGTGGAGAGCTCTCAAGACCAGGTTCCCGGTCACCAGGGAGAGGAGCAGGAGGGGAAGGAGGGGAGGACAGACAGGTCAAACTGAATCCTGAAGGTTAGCAGCATAGAGAGCCATTGCCAAAGAAGGCGCTCTGCCTTCGGTCTCATCCTGCCTGACAGCCATGTAATATTGGACGAGGTTGGCTCCGGTCCTCATGTTCTATCCCGCTCTGTTTCCTCCTGATATGGCCCGGCCTCTCAATGTCTCTCTGCAGGAGGTTCTCCATCACTCATCCTCTGTGACTCTTCCTCAGGGCTTTCTTAATAGCAGTGCTCCTGCTGAAACCGCATCTCCCGAGAGCCACCAATCCTTTCCTACGGGCTAGCGCTCCCCAGGAGCATCAGAAACATGTCCATTGGGGCCTTCTGAGCATCTGCCTCTGCATGGCATCTCAGACTTCTCAGCCTGTCTGTTCTCTACTGACATAGGTAGAAGTGTCTGGACTCAGAGTCTCTTCCACCATTTAGTAGGTTTGTGATCTTGGGGAGTCCCCGAAGCCCCTAGAGGTTCTGATTCATCATCTAAAAGAGATAAGAACTTCAGGTCATTGGTGTTTCCAGGATTAAGTGACATGGTGTTGTGCAATCCTTGGCACAGTACCAGCACAGACAGAAAACCCGGGTTCTCTTGCCCAGACTTCTTCCTTCTTCACACTCTTTTTATTGGTTCCCAACTCCAGCATAAATATCCCTAGAGTTCATTCCCTTCCTGTATTTGCCTCTGCCACTGCCATAACTCAGACTCTTTTGAGGGATCCTTGTGTATTCTGAGAACTGGCATCTCAAAATACCTTTAGTGAGGCCCATTGCTGCGGGTTCTTATCTGGTCACTTCTGTAAATGACGTCAGGTTATGAGTCCTGCTCCATCCCCTCTGTGGAGTAGGACACACACTCTCCCCTCTGTGCTTCTGAGGCAGCTAGCACTGACTTCCATTAGGATATCCTCAGAGCACACAGCTAAGTGTCCCCAGACCCCCAGTGGATGGTTTGTGTTTTCTCCAGGGGAAAGCTTGGAACCAAGCTCATCTTTGTGCCCCTGGCACTGACACAAAGCCTCAGAATAGTGTTAAGAACATCTGTGACTGAGTGCTTATCATCCTGGGGGCGTGTAATTGCAGCACTCAGGAATCAGAGGCAGATGACCAGGAGTTTGAGTCTAGTCTGGGCTACATAGCAAGTCCACCTGGGTGAGGGCCTGGCCTTCTGACTCAAGCCCATGCTTCTGCCCACTTATTCCAGTTGCCTGGAACAAACATGGTAGATGGTACCCAGAAGTCATGCCTCAGCAATGAAGGCTACAGCATCCCCTTCCTTATACACATCTTTTTTCTCTGCATTTGGAAAAGGCCTGAGTTGGAACCAGTTTGGTAGAACTCAGATTTGCCTCAACTGCTCATTCTGATCAGACGGGACCCTGCTGCTCCCTCTGACGGTGTTCCCATGGTAACGTAGAAATCCACACTCAGCCACAAAGTTCACAAAGACCTGGAGATCCAGAAAGCTCACTAAGGGAGAGAATGGTTGCTATTTCATTGACACTCACCTCACTTGCGCTGACTACTTCCCAGAATGGTCCCTTGACCCCTAGTAGCCAAGAACTTGGGTGATGGATAGAGAATGAGTTTTGAGCCACAGAAATAGACGCTGTAAACCACATCTCAAAGCCCATTTTGCAGAATGCAAGCCATGCATGACCTCTGCTTTAATCTTACATTCGGCTCTAGTGAGCATGGGTCTGGTTTCTAATAGATTAAGGCTGGTAGCAGGTTCTGGGTAAAGCAAGAAGTGGCAGCTAACAGTCTGCCAGCAAAGACCAAATCTACAAGGCTCAGAAGTTATCAGGTGACATGAAGCCTCCTGGTGAAGGGGCAATTAGGTGTGTTGTAATAAGTCCAAGGGCAAGATAGCTTCAGGTCCCTCCATCCCAGACATACAGCTAAGGAGACAGGAAAACTTCCAAGCAGTGCTAGTCGACTGTCTTTAATAAGGCAAAGAGGCACCATACTTCAGGCTTTTTTCATCCCCAGAGACCCAATATGAAAAGATCTAAGTAGAAATCTTGGTGCTTAGGACATTGTTCCTCAGGTTTCTTGAAATTCCTGTAAGTGAAGTTTTCATTTTTGGAGATGAGTGAACTCCCTTGTTTAGATTTTTCCTTTGACTTGATAATTCTCTCTTGCTACTCTCCCCACCCCTTTTCAGGGAGAGAGAGAGAGAGAGAGAGAGAGAGAGAGAGAGAGAGAAACAGGTTCCTTTCGTATTCAGCCTCAAGGAGACATTGCCCCATGCCTGTGAGTGGGGCCAGCACATCCTCTTGCTGATCTATCTGTTCTGCTCAGGCTTTCTTGTCATTCAGTCAACGGTGCTTCACCTGGAA